ATTTAACGCAAATTTATATGTGTTGTGTGTTCTTAAAGGGCCACATATTATCATCCAACGATTCTCCTCATCAGGATGAGGCGAGAGGGAGTGTTACACTCTTACGAATATTGACTATGATGCTTTGCGTGCTTGCAGATGCAACGCTGGCTGCACCGCTGTCAGTACGATGTTTAAAACACTAGCATATAAGGCTGCGGTTCCATTAAGGCGATGCGGAGCAGAGGTGAACTTTGCCGCGATACTCCAACCGCGAGGATTGACTTCGCTTCGGTTAAAGGCAAACTTTGGTGGGTATGAGAGGAATCGTTTAAAATATCGAGAAAACAGGCTAGAGTATGGTAGCGCCGGAGCGACGCGGAGCGGAGAGGGCCGAGCGAGGCGGAGAGAAGTGATCCGGCAATTTTTTGTAAAATTATTTTTTTCTTCCAAATGTTTCTCTACCAGTAGATCGATAAGATTACAAAAAAGCTGCTTCGTTTTAGGAACAGCGTTAGAACGCCTGTGTCTGGCCACTTTAGCTCCGTCCCCGTTCACCCGTGACTTCACGGTAACAATCAGGTACCTAGTTGGGTTTGAATCGTAGTCCACAATTAATATACTAAATAGTTTAGTTTAATCTGAATAAACATTGCATATACAGTTGACATAAGTTTAGTAGCACTTCACTTGATTGAAGTTTTTTTCAGAACGAGGTTGGAGTAAAGGCGTTGCCAGTCACACGCCTTTACGTTATAGTTGCGAGCGGAGGAGGCGCAGGAGGTGCGACTGGTCTTGTGCCGCACGTGCTCCATGGTGGTTTCGGTCAAATTATAATGAAGAGATGCCGGTTTGCAAAGACTTTATACTAAAGTAACGAATGCATGTAAATAATGCATGAACATATAAATGGTTAGCTACGGTCCACAGTGCTTGGACAGTTTACAAGCTCGTGCCATACATTGTAAGGCAACGGTAACTACAATCTTACGAGACACGCTGTATATGTCCAGGTGGAGTGTCACTGGACAATGACAGCAAAATGGCGCTGTAAAATTTGTTGAACGTGTGCGTGCCAGTCGTGTGGTACACTCGCTCGATGTCAACGTAATTATACAACGAGTGTTCCTTCTGTATACCGTGCACTTAAATGTTGAGACTTAGCTGCCACGAATATTTAGATGCATGTACTAGACCCGTTCGTGATGTGAAAAAACAAAGCAAAGAAAAATTTCAATTTACAGTTGAAAATAAATAATGGGTATTAGGGCATTAGCTCAAGGACTTCTCGTCTCTCAGACTAATACAATATTAAGGATTTTCTATAAGAACAACTCATTAATTATATCCATTCCAAACAAAACCAAATATAACCTAATGGGTGCCACCATCTGCAAGTAATTATGCAAAATAGAAAATGTTCTTACTTAGGTATGTACGTCAGTTAAATACGTAATATATGAATGCTTACAATCCAATAAATAATAAAAATATAAATTTATTATAAAATAATGACACGTTGGAAGGGGAACATTGAAAAACAATTGACAACACTGATCAATAATGACGGCCATTGCTTCCGTTACAAACATTAATCAAAGTATGCAAATAGTTAGCACCTAGCTGATACACTTGGCACTGGTAGACGGAACAACATTGCAGATTATTGAAACATTTCGTAAAGTGTATTCATAAAATTGTAACCAAAGACACATATCTATATTTATTGAGCTGGGTCTATGTATTTCGAAATCCGTTATAGCCTGAAGGCAAGATGAAGTGTGTGGTGTGGTGGGGTAGACTGGTGCTGCAGCGAGGTGGAGCGACTTACTCAACCAGGTCATAGAGCGCGGTCGGCCACTCGACAGTCCGATTGAAGGAACACTTCACGGCAAACGTTCTGCTCAGAGGCGAGTCACGCGACACGCGACCAGGCGGTTGCTGCTTAACTTACATAAAGGGCCTAGTGATCACCGCACCATTTGTACGAGTTAGCATTCCGACGTTGCGTCTAAGAAGCTACAATAACGGAAATATTTTTAGCATTAGACAGGATGTGTCAAAAATGATAAAAAGTATAGAAGGCTTAACAAAATAGAGAAATCGCAAATAAGAATGATAGCAACGTCCTTATACGAAACATGTGTTTGTATACAGCCTGCCTTTGTCACCGGAAATAAAGAAGCGATATTACAAAAAGGCATGTTTCCCTCTTGCTGAAGAGGGAGTGTTTGAAGTGAGTGCACGAGTAGGTACGGCGACATGCGGCGTGTGAGTCACCGGCATCGCATCGATTTGCAACGCATTCGAATTAAATAATAAGTCGAGGCAGCGCCTCATCAGGCGGCGGACACGTGCCCGGGCTGTCCATTGCGTCACTACCTGTTTCTTCCATCTCGCAAAACGTTTGCGGTCGAGGTATCGAGGCGCTCGCGGCGTCGGTGCGCGTCCACTCATTGCTTAGTTGAGAGAGAGTGCGTGACGTGGCCCAGCACGGCGACATAGGCGCGGCTAACGGACGGTAGCCACGTGAGGAGCCAGTCTCGGGACGATATGATGTATCTTATCCTGAGCCGATTACGAGCCGATAAAATTGGCGTAAAATACCGCCACTCCGTATCAGGCGTAAAGAAAATGTACGGTATCGCAGGCGCAGGTAGCGAGGCGCAGATAACAGCGTCCCTGAGCTAAGTGTGTCGGTACGTTTCCGTGATCCGGAGCGTTATCGCAATCAGAGCGCAGTGAGCGCCACGGCCACCAGCCCCTCCGTGGCTCCGTGGCTCGGTGGCTCGCGCTACTGTTAACATAGCTTACTTCTCGAGCCGCGTACTCGGAGACCAAATTATTCGGATGTGGCTTCACCAAGTAATGCTTTGGTTGCGCCTCGAGAGGACGGCAAGAGAGACTGCCCCTCCCCCGTTCCGCCGGCCGTCGCACAACGATCACCGGCCGCCGATAATAACCTTACTAGATTATGGATGCCTTACAAAAACACATAATCGACTAATGATTATAGAAAAAAGTGACCTTAGAGACGACGCGTCGCTCGACTCGACACCTGGCTGTAAGTAACAGAGCGGTGCGCTGCTAATAATAATAATAAAGCGGCCGCGACCTCCACGCGGCGCGCGGCCACCGCTCCTCGCCGGCTCCGCGTAGAGCGGCCGTAGCGCGTAGCGGGAACGTGCTACGCCGCTACGCGGATCCCGTCGCGCGCCGGGACCGAGCTACGTGCGGCGCGACTCGCGACCCGGGCTACGAGGCCCGCCTGTAGTCTCGCGTATGTATCTAATCTGTCGGGCTCCCGATATCAGCTAATTAAGTTATTATTCGCTGTGGAAAATAACTGACTCGTATATTATATTATCTCAGCATGGGCAGGCAGATAATGCTTCGAATCAACAAAATCTGGACACTCGTTAGCTAGTGAGAGCGGCACGCGGCCTTCGCACTTCGCACGTACTCGTAGTACTCGGTAGTACGCGGCTTCTTATGTCATTGCGTTTGTCTCGTATCCGTGTTGGCAGTTGGCACATGTAACAAGCTATTCTTAGAATTTACACTTTTTTCAATACATTAGCAAACGATGCTTTTCGCAAATATCATAAAGTGTAGTGGCACGGGACCACAGTTTAAGACCCCCATCACCGCCGTGCCAGCAATAGTCGCAAAGCTTCTTTAGGGCTCTGCATATAATATACAACAATTACAGATTGCACACATTGTAACAGCTACAAGGGAAGTCAGCACCGCACGTCGCCGTCGACTGCAAGCGAGCGCGTGTCTGTGTGCGTGCGTGTGTGTGTGCGTGGACTTGCTTGTTGAGTACTGCGCATGCGCCGGTGATCAATAAGCGAGTGCCAATAATAATGAGACGGCGTTTATGTGTCTATGATATCGATGTTATTTACAGTTAAGTGGCTTTAAGTAGTCGCGGAGGCAAGGACACCTGTGTCGAGGGAGGCCGATTGAGGGCTTCAATAATCGGGCAACGTGACCTCCCCCACGTAGTGAGTCGACCCGGCTCTAGGGGACGGGGTACGATATCTGGCTGCCGACACTATATTTCTCATTACCATTCCAACCGGTGTTTTTCCTAAATTGTTATTAAGTTTACTGCTTCGAAATATTTGCATTGACGTCCAAATTATGAATGTAGGCTGATTTGTGTATACCTAAGTATATAAAACAAGTAAGTATAATAAAATGAAAAGGTATCGAGTCTCCATGGCATCGCCTCAGCGGCTGCAGCCACGGAGCGGAACTAACGCGGCGCGGCCCGCTCAATGGCGCGCCACATCTCCGTGCACCTAAACAAACTCCAAGTCGCACGCAACATTGCAATCACATTCGCTATTTAGTAACGCTACAACTTGTACGCTGTCGCCGCACATGATCCGCCAATTGGCGAGCGCAGCGAAACGACCTAATTTGCCAGAGCTGCCTCCTATATACCAGTACCTAGCAGCAACGACACGGCGCGACACAGCGCGACACTGCGCGGCGGCCTTGCACGATATTATACAAAAATATAAGTTTCACGCAAAAGTATGCACCCGTCGTCGTGCGGCATTTCATTGATATAGCGGTAGTGTACGCTTCCGTTTATGGCGATAATACTTTGTGATTGTTGTCTCCATTAACGATCACTTTTAATAACATGGGAACAAAGAGTAACATACAAAATTGGAAATAATTTTAAGGCGAGCTTCGCGTGGCGAGCTGGGCCCAGCCCCGGCAACGGCTCGGCGCAGCGCAGCACTGCACACGCTCGCGGTAAAGCTCAGCGCGCAGCGAGATGTCACGGGGCAATGCAACGTAATCCTAACTGGAGTCTAGGTCGGCCACTCTGTACCACGGTGGAGAACATTTTTCTCACCTGACGTCACAAACCTATTTTGTTGTCAAATTTCCGCCTGTTGCTCTAATGTGCAACATGCAACCATTTTGTAACCGGCGGCGACAAGCGGTACAGGGCAGCCGGCGATAAGTACACGGTATGTGTGGGGTGGAGCACTCACCTGTGGGGCGAAGCCCAGGAACGAGAGCTTCCTCTTGCCGGAGCTCATGTCGAGAGCACGGGCGCGCGGGCAGCTGAGGAGCGAGCGACGGCGCGCACGTGTGTCTGGGTTGCCGGCGGCGCACCGACTGTGGCGGACGCGGGCGCAGGCGCCGCGGGAGGGGGCGCCGCGGGAGGGGGCGCCGCGGGAGGGGGCGCCGCGGGAGGGGGCGGCCGGCGCGCGCGCTCCTCCTGCAACACGCCGCGCTCAGCACCGCCGCCCACACCGCCCACACCGCGCCACCAGCCACTGCCATCACTTGTCCAAATATATTCCACTTCCAATAATATGGTTGTCTATTCCTAATCCTATCCCATTCCTATTATAATTACGTTACCCTACCACTCCATTCCGGCTCGGACTAACTTAGCTGTGTCTATATAATGACATTACATACGAGTAAATATGTATTGCTCCTCGTTAATTACGCAAATCAATTCAACCATTCACAAGTTGTAATGAAATTATTGAATACTCGTAAATATTTGTGAAAGTTTGTCAAGATAAGTGAATGTATAAATACTAGATAGTGTTCACACAAAACTACTGAATGGATACTCGACTGTAATTTAGCACAACCAAAGCGACAATAACACGAGCGGTTTCTGATCTTGGTAACGTCAAAGGTGGGTGCAGTCCAGCATAAGCCGACCAGTCCCGGGTGGCGTCAGTAATGCTTGGAATAAACACGTGTAAAATATAAACTTTAAAAATGAAGTACTTTTTAATTATTTTTGCTTACAATCAATATTTATTGAATTTAAATTTTATTAAGGATCTGGCAACAAGAAAAGTCCTTCTCCATTTTGTCCTCCTGTCCCTAGAGGAGCTACTTCCCTACTTTGCGCTTTTGTCACCCAGCTGTGTCCCGACACTTCCTTTATATTATGTATCCATCTCTCTTCGGACTGCCTGCTCATGCTGTGTTTCGTTGTTTTCCTTATTATCTGCATACTCTTATCCTGCATTGCAGTCCCCAGGTTCCCTCTGGCATTCTTGTTATTTGTTTATTGTGTGCTTGTTAAACAACCATTTTGGGCAAGCACGGGTTACCCATGCTAGTATGATATTATTATGTATGATGAGAGAGGAGTACGATATACATGATTCTTGATACGAGTATGTGGATGTAAGGTAGGTTCCATCTATACTAATATTATAAAGAGGCATATTTGTAAGTTTGTATGTAGGGGGTAATCTTTGGAACCGCTGGTCGGACTTCCAAAATTCTTTTACTTATAGATAGCTACAATATTCCTGAGTGCTATAGGGTATAAAACATCACACTACGATTACATGGAGCCGAGCAGCGGGTGAAACTGCGCGAGAGAAGCTAGTTTTCTCTATATATACCTACTAGTGGTCGCCCGCGGCTCCGCCCTTGTGGATGTCGATTTTACACTATTTCAAGTATTTTTTTTTTATTTTCTCTGTGAACAAACCTTATGTAGATGTCCTTATTGCTCCTGATTTTACTCCTTGTTCCATTTATTTATGGGTTAGGTCGGCAAACAACCTGACGGATTACTTGATGGTAAGCAATCGCCCATGGACACCCGTAACACCAAAGGAGTGATGAGTGCATAGCCGGCCTTTTGGGAATAAAGATGCCGGATATTTAAGGATTGGGAAGGTATGGGGAGAGGGGTAGGGATTGGGCCTCCGGAACCTCACTCACACGGCGAAATATAACACGGGTTTTGTACATCAGTCCGGTCGAGTGGACCCATTCATTTTGGTGCCTGTCCGAAGAAAGGACTATGTACATCATCTACAAATCGGTTATTACATTGTTTTTATAGCATTCGTTTCCCAGCCTAGATGGTTCACTACGCGTTGCACGACTGTTATAATGTCTCTCGGTAAGAGTCACTTCTACTTACATAATTATACTTTAAACGATCGCGTTGCATATTGTACCTTACTGTTTTACGGGATTTAACACGCACGTACCTTTTATTTGGTTTTTGCTTCTTCAACTTCCTTTGGCTGTATTTGTCTTCGATAAGTTCAACGGTGTCGAGTGGTGCACTGCACTCGTCTAACACTGTCCACATACTACTATGGACAATAGCGTCGAAGGCTTCGGCATAATCAATAAAAGCTAGATAGAGTGGCCGCTTGTGTTCATTATATTTCTCTATAACCAAGTTGAATGCGTGTAGTATGTGATCTGTGAAAGCAAACAGACAACTTTTTTGTACAACCTTCCTGTCCGGTGGTGGTGGTGGTGGTGGTGGTGGTGGTGGTGGTGGTGGTGGTGGCGTTCCTGGGTGTATCTATGCATGTATATAGCGAGGTGTTTGTCTAGACTTGACGGTAGCGTGCTACTGTTTATCAGACTCTAATTATGAAAATCAATAAATTACATTGAACATCTGTTACTAAATAAAACAATAACAACATAATATATAGCATCATTATTACAAATTATCTATAGGTATAATAAATCTGTAGAGAGGTCAATCCTGTACATGAATGAAATATATTTTCAAAATAACTATCAAGGGGTGGTAAGTGATCGATACTGATGCCAAATAGGTAATCTGTAAAATTTTTGTCTGTCTGTGTGTTATTTATTAAAACAAAAACTACTCAACAGATTTGAAAGAAACTTGGTACAATTATTCTTTTTATTCCTGGGCTACTTTTCATCACGCTAGGTACATTTGATAGGAGCAGAGCAGTGAAAAATTTGAACATTTCCCATGTTGGGAAAACGGGAGAAGTTACTCCATTTTTGAAGCTGCCGGTGCGTGTGCTGCCTTAATGGTTAAAGTTAAATAGACATCATGTATCACGCGCATGTTGGACATAAAATTGTCTACAAAATACAACAATATACATATTATGTCTGTGTTTTATAGTTGACTCACAATTATACGTGTAAGTCCTGATAGCTCTGCAGTTCGGAGCATTCTGGTTATACTCTTACCTACGTTTAAAACACTCATATTTATCCCTAATTAAAAAGGTTTACACTATATCTATTCAATAAAAAAAGAATTATAGAAACTTCTCGAAAATCCTACGACATCGAGAACTTTGTGGGTAAAATAAAAAAATCTGTTAGAACTCACTATTCCACGTGGACGAAGTCGCTGGCAGAAGCTAGTATTTTAATAAAAACAATATAATTAATTTTTCATCAAGGAAACTATCCAATAGTTATATAAGTAACAACAAAGTGGAGGACGTTCTTTATTCGACTGGAGTCTGTATGTGTGTCGGTCTGAAATAATCTTTGAGTCAAGTGGCAGTGTGGTCTCAAAGGACTTTGACCAAAATCAGATCACAATTGTAGCAGATATTCTAGGGAACGACTCACAAGTCAACATAATGAGCTCTACGGTTTAGTTTAAATAACGTGAAGCACTTATCTCTCACAATAAGTGGGAAATGATAGAAACGACAGCATATTATCTGACCTAGCGTGAAGGGTAGCCTGATGAGTTTGTTTGATAACTGTAGCAATATATTATTCTTATTATTGAATATTGATCGATCAGTTTAAGGTATCCTACCCCCAATCCCTAAATCTCTAAATCCGTAAACCCAAAAAGGTTGGCAACGCACTCGCCCTTTTGTGGGTGTCCATGATAGTGTGACAGAAAACTCTTTGACATCATGACGTCAATGGATGGTTGTCAAACGTTGCCTAGAGATTGTAAATTTCGTCGTGAATTGTCAACACGAGTTGGTGTAATCGGTAAGGCGTGTGGATTACACCACAGAGACCCCGAGTTCGAGTCCCGCCGTAAACATGAAGTTTTTTAGTTGATGGAAGTTTTGTCGAACTTTCTGGAATATTTGAGTGAAAGTAATGAAAAATTAAGGAGCGAGAAGGAGAATAAATAAAAATGAATAACGAAATTATTGGAAGGTTCTGGAGGCATGACGATCAAAAAGAATAACGAAATTGAATGTTCTAGAACCTGACCGGGGGTATATAACCGGAACTGCGGCTCACCGCTGGCAGTTGAGTTCTAAGTCTAAAGCGATTCGGAAGAAAAGGAAGAAGTGAGAAAGAAGAAAAGTGAGTGAAATAGTGAAGTGCAGTGAAATAGTGAAGTGCAGTCAGTTAAGTGAGTTAAGTCAGCGTGAACGGCAAAGTTGTGTCAGTCGGCCGGACTCTGCTGGAGAGGAACGCCGATAACTTAACTCCGTGGACGCTGTAACTTAAGTGCAATAGAAAGTCTGAAAACCGGTATTAGTGTTTCATTTCATCCAATCCGTAACCCAAGCCCGCATAGTCAGGAACGTGACGTCAGGCACGTAACATTTGGTGTCAGAAGTGGGATTGGAGAAAAATGCCGCTAGTGCCGCAGGACGTAAGAGGAGTGAGTACCCGTGCTATGTCAGAAGCGCAGCGTGTGAGGGAAGAGGGTGCTGCAGCTCAGACCAGCGATGCAGAAGCCAAGCCTGTGCAGATGGATCTTCTGCTACAGCTGCGGCAAATGATGGCAGAACAGCTGCGTGAGCTGAAAGAAGATCAAGCGCGCCGCCAAAAAGAGCAAGCACGCTGTCAGGCAGAACAGCTGCGGGAGCTGAAAGAAGATCAAGCGCGCCGCCAAGAAGAGCAAGCGCGCCGCCAAGAAGAGCAAGCGCGCCGCCAAGAAGAGCAAGCGCGCCGCCAAGAAGAGCAAGCACGCTGTCAGTCAGAACAGCTGCGGGAGCTGAAAGAAGATCAAGCTCGTCGCCAAGAGGAGCAAGCGCGTCGCTTGGAGGACATGCATAAAGATTTCACGAAGGGACTGCAAAAGGCTGTCGAACGGGTACAAGAAGTGGAGGAAGGGTTAGGCAAGTTGAAACTTCGCGTCATGGCGATAGAGGAGAGACTGGAAGAAGAGATCTCCAAAATCAAGCAGGAAGTGACAAACCCAAGCCCTTTGAAGAGCCGAAGCCGTCTTGCAGCCGTTTTTGACGCCCCAAATGCGGCCTTAAGCGCAACGAAAGGGCTCAAGATTCCCCATTACGACGGAACAATATCCTGGACTGCGTTCAAGCTACAGTTTGAGACACTTATGGAGGCTTATGGTTGGACTCAGAAGGAAGCACAGTCAGCCCTTACCCTGGCCCTCCGTGATCAAGCGCTCTCAGTGCTGGAAGCTATCGGCGCAA